TATAACAAAAAAAGAACTCTTACGATCCACAACAGCATGGATGGATATGGAGAGCATTATGCTAAGCGAAATAACCCAGTTGGAGAAAGATAAATATCACATGATCTCATTCATTTGTGGAATATAATGAGCAACATCAACTGATGAACAAAAACAGATCCAGAGACAGAGAAGCATGGAACAGACCGTCAAACTTCAGAGGGAAGACAAGGGAGGGAGAGGGGGATAAGAGATCAACCAAAGGACTTGTATGCATGCATATAAGCATAACCAATGGACTCAGATGCTAGGGGGTGAGGGCATGTGTGGGGGAGTCAGGGGTGGCCAGGGAGAGGTCAATGGGAGAAAAAGGAGGCATATCTACTACTATATATAATACTTTAAATAATAAAGAATTTTTTAAAAAGTATAATGGACAGTAAACACTATGTCTCTGAGTCTTTAGTTTCCTGTATTTAATACATTATTTCTAAGTGCTTTTCAGACCTAAGATCTAGAATTGTAAATGCATATTAATAAGAGAAAGAAACCAATCTAAAAAGGTATGGTTCCAAATATATTACAAAACCCACAGAATGTAGAACACTACGGGTGAACCCTATGGACTCCGGGGATGAGGATGTTAATGTGGGGTCATCAACTGTAACAAATGGCCCACCCTGGTGGGAAATGTTGATCATGGTGGAGGATGTGCATGTATGGGAACAGGGGTATATGGGAGCTTTACCTTCAACTCAGTTTTGCAATGAACCTAAAACTCTTCTAAAAAATTAATTCTATTAAAAAATTATACAGGTTCTGACCCAGGCAATTTATATCTAAAAACCAAAGAACAAACAAAAACCAATATATAAAACACAAGCACAGAAGACTGCAGCCTATGTTTTATGAATGTTTATATACATAAAAAAGTGATTAAGGCAATCATTACAACAAATAATTAATTTGGTACACAGTAAAAACTTGTCACCACTTACTGAGTGCTTAGATGTGTTTTACAGGTGTTTTCCATTTTAATTCTCGTAATAACCATATGAAGCAGGTACTATTAGTTTCTGTTTTCCTCAAATGAGCAAATCAATGCAAACAGAGGTCAAGTGGCTTGCTTAGGGTCATCAGGCTTGTAGGTAGTGGTGATTTGGTTCAGTCAGGGCGCTTAATTCCTACATTCTACAGACTCAGTGTGTAGGATTCAGACAGAACTTTCAGAACAGAGAGGGAGAGAAAACTTATGGAAGAAATAAAATTTAAGGAAGGCTCAAATTCTAAAGAGAAAATTAGAAAAAAGGAGATATTATCTTGTTTTCTAATAGCAAGTTTCAGTGATTAAAAAATATTGTTTGCTTTGCTAACATATCTGGGCCTCCTTTTCTGTTTTTTCAAATATTCTTTATTGATTGGTAAATTCTTTCAAATACCTTCTCTTACTCTTCATCAAGGGTTTTTCATGTTTAAAAATAATAATGCCTCCTTTGGTGGGCTAGAAGAGGTCAATGGGGGCGTTGAGGGAGGGGGGAGAGGGCATTACGTACTACTTTCAACAATAAAGATTTTTAAAAAATAAAAATAATAGTGCTTCCTCATTCCATTATGAATATGTGTGCATTTTCACATGAATGAAACTTAACTGTTGTGACTGAAAATGTAAGACACTAAAGGTAAGGTCAGGTCTACTATCACCCTATGCCAATTCATCCTGTATGGTGAGTTAAAAAAGAAGTTTTTAAAAAGTTAAAAAATATATATTCTCTACATAGAATCTCCACTTAACTAAAAATAACTGAGAATTCTAAGAAGACTCTTGATGCAGTAAAGAAATCTGATTCCAGCTCAACATGTTACCACCTTGAGTTGCTAGTCTACTGCTTCCATTTGAAAACTTCCTTTTTTCAGACTTTAAATTTTTTGCACATAGCAGTATCTTTTCTATGGCTTACAAACATCTTACTTTATTTTGGGTTAAAATCCTGCAAAAAAGCTGCTTAAAATTAGATATGTGGACATTATTTATATACTACCATGAATGTTTAAAAAAATAAATGCCATGAAAGATTAGAAAATATTTTTCCTATTATGACAACCCATGGAAAGTATTCCTGAAGCCAAAATCAGCAGATTGTATATATGGTCAGTACCACTGCACAAGTCTAGGGGGCACCAGTCACAGAATATTTCATCAAAGGATACACTCTAAAGTTTTCCAATGCTGTGGCCCAAATAAATCATCTTAACATGAAATACCTTTTACTAAATTACATTATAGGTAAGCAATGCCATTCTGTTACCCCAATATTTTTTAATGTACATTTCAGCTCCTCTAGTTCTTCATATCAGTTATACCACATTAAATAATTCAATGGAAAAATCTTCGGAGAAAAATAACTCTGTAGCTAAATACTATAAAAGAGAACAGGGAAATGAAAGCTTGGATATCTCATCTCTGCGTTTTTATTAGCTTCAGTTCACCAGACAATCCAATTCAATTTTTTGTATTTAGTTGAATTTGTCTAAAAATCTGTACAACATTTTCCATTGTCTTTTCCAATTGTTTTAGGTTTCCTTGTAAATTCCTTTGCAAATAACAGGATGCCAATACCCTTTTATTAGTCACTGGAATGATAATATCAGATTCTTGGCATTCATTAATGCTCTGAAAAATTATAGCACTTATTTTATGTACCCACTGACAGCTCTTAAGAACCACCATGTACTTTTCCTAAGATTTAAACAAATATAAACAAGGTTTATAAAAACATAAGAAAATATTACTTTTAGGTTTCTCATGTTCTCTTCTCATTAATAGTGCTTACGTGTGTCTTCTAAAGAGAAATTCCAATACTATTAAAAGTGATACCCTATTGGTGAAAAATATTGTGTGGTTGTGAGAAGAAGAGAAAAACAGTTGGAGTTTGAAAACTCTTTGAAGCTTTCTACTTTTACTTCCTGCTCTCACTACCTCTGAGGTTTAACACATCAGAAGGTAACAACTTGGATTCGAAAGTTCACATTGGATGCAAAATAGTATAAATTAATTTAGTGATTCTATTCAGGGGTGGGCAAACTTTTTGACTCGAGGGCCACAATGGGTTCTTAAACTGGACCAGAGGGCCGGAACAAAAGCATGGATGGAGTGTTTGTGTGAACTAATATAAATTCAAAGTAAACATCATTACATAAAAGGGTACGGTCTTTTTTATTTTTTAGTTTTATTCATTTCAAACGGGCTGGATCTGGCCCTCCGGCCGTATATTATAGTAAAAACTATAAAGTACTAGAAAAATAGAGTTAATTCTGATACTTATGGTAGAAACTCTGTCTTTGAATATTTAAATCTTGAAAGAGATAACAATAAATTTCTAATTCCCATTCGTGCATCCATTCAACAAATATTTATTGAGCATATGCCATAGAACAGTTCTGCTGTAGAAGCCAGGTGTACTTAATGTCTATTTTTAAAAATGCAGTCATAAGCGTAAAAACTATTGCCACATGCCCTCCTGTGAGTCATTAAACTCTTTTTGCTTTTTCTTCAGTTTTCAAAGAGTAATTTCAATAAGTATTTATTTAAAAAAAGCAATCAGTGAATTATACTTTATCCTTCACATGTTAATTGGTGATAGGCTACAAATAAGAATTAAAAAATCATCATATTGAGGTGCTAACAGATATTTTTAAATTTATTAGTTTTGGTAGTACAAGTTAGCAGGATTCTCTTTGATACTAGTCCATAAGTGAGAGATTTTTGATCAGCATTCAGCCAGTTATGGCTCACTCTCTTGAGTATCATCACTTTTTCCTAGATTTTAGGACACTTTGACATTGTGTACTTGGTCTCAGGCAAAAGAAAATACGACAAAAGTATATATTTTAAAAACTGAAAAAAAAAGAACAACGTCTGTTTTTCCTATGCTCTTTTCTTAGTGACAAAGAATACATATTCACAACAAAATTAAGAAAATGT